AACTTATTTTATCTAAGAAGTGTTTAAGAACTTGCACCAAACACGACTGCATTATACCTGCCCAGTAAGCAACAGTTAACCTACACAAAGTACACTACCCAACTAACGTTGCGTCGGCGTCCCGTCACTGCTACCGCCTGAAGAATTGGTTATCAGTGTTCTAATTTTTTCTACGCCAGTGCCAGTGGCATTTTACAAGGGGTCAATGTGAGAATAAAGTTTTTGTGCAACTTTTTTGTGGTTGTGAGGTTGTGCCGGGAATTAAATCCGTCCCTTCCGCATCTAAGTCTGAGACACTACCATTTTGTTGTTGTTTTGTGGCTAGCAACATGCCTATTGGGTTGTGTTATTCTTAAATATGATATCAGTGCTCTAAATATGAATACTATGTAATATTGAAAGTTTTGAAATTTGCTACGGTTATCATTGAATTACATTACTGTAATTACAAATTCCTAACGCTGAACTCAGATAAATTAACATTCAACTACCTTTCAAACTTTTACTATTGATAAAACTTCTTTTCTTTATCCAATACCCAATTCAAGTTTTCAATCATCTGGGTTAAAATGAATTATAACATTAAATGTCGAAAAATTAAATAAGAAGAAGAATGCAGCCGAACGTCGAAGTCAGCATTGGACACTGTCGTTGCCATAATGGCTGAAAGCGTCCGTTGTCTGCCGATCTTCCCTACTTTTCATAACGTACAAAAGCATAGTCAGACTTGAACGATCCCAACCCAAGTTTTAGGTTAGAATTTATAATTAGTCCTCTCGTTCGCTACAAGTGTAAAGACTACAACGAATTTCAATTTGGTAAAACGATTTGCAATAAAAATTATTTATCTTTCCCTGGTATAATAGTTTATGTATATAAAAAATATTTTGGGGGGGGGTCATGACCCCCCTGGGACCGCCCTTGTTTGGTCGATTTCCTCACCATTTAAAAGTTATTTGCAAAAACCTTAAGTAACCTCCAAATTTCTAGTGGTAAAAAAAGTTGGAGATAACTTTTTAACTTTGTACAATTAAATCTACAGTTCTGTTGGATCGATTTTGTTAAATGATGTGTCTTTGGAAGGCATCAACTCTTTGAGTTGCTTTTTCGTTTGATGTGTATTTTATAGCGGTAAGTTTAATAGTATGAAAGTTATAAAGCGTTAAAACTGGGTCATTCATTTTGAATCACCCTGTATTTATTACATGAATTTGAACAGGTGGTGTTTTTGTCCTCTGAGGACATTAAAATAAAAAAGTAAATTGATGCCGGGTCTAGATCTTTATCAATTATCCATCATTAAGATGGGGATGCCACTTAGGTGCATATTTTGACCCAAATATGAGTGAAGGATGAGTGTAGAATGAGTGTAGAATGGTGTGAGATGATTTGTGTAGCTTTGTTACTAAGATCAGCTGTTACTTTAGCCAGGATCATTTATTTAAAGCCCAATGATCAGGAACAGCTAGGTCCAGTTTCGAACCATCAAAAAGCTACTGACTTTTCTCAGGATCGAACCGGCGACCTTTTGATTAGTAGGCGAGCACTATATAACCACTCAGCTACCCAGCCAGTTATCACGATATCTTACCACGAGACCTACAGTAAAAGCATATTTCCTATATGGAAATACGTTTATAAACGGTAATATAGCAGAACCCCGGTTAACCGAAATAAAGGGGGGAGGCTGTTTTGGATAACCAATTTTTCGGTTAACCCATCGTATGCTAAAAATAGCCAATGTAACACCACAGTGTGTAGGAAAAATGAATTTAGGAAAATGTCTATATAGTTCAACAGTGTTTTGTTTCAGCTACAAAAATGTTACAATTGGATAGAAAATACTTTAAACCAGACAACTGATATTATTAAAGCATTTTACAGCCTTATATTATCTTATAAAACCATTTCGGTTACCCCGGGTTTCGGTTAACCCAAATTCAGTTAACAGGGGTTCTACTTTTAACATCAAATCATGGCAGTTTTGTTGTGCTACCAGTGATTAAGTTGTAATTGTTTATTAGTGTCTTACATTGTTTTGTGGTCTGATTGAGTGTGGTACCTTGGTGGTCAGCCAAGTATTAAGTGCCAAGGCTTAAGCAGATATTTGGGTCAGTAGTGTCGCTAGTACGCTGGGAAGGTGTCTGAACCTATAATTTTTCTCCCTCCTCTTAATAATTGGTTTGTTTTTAATCACATTTAAATTTTCATATTTGCATAAAGTTAGCCTATACAACATTTTTGGTTTGTTTGCGTTGTTACTGGTGTAGGACTGCTTGTATTTTCTATGTAATGGTTCATCTTTATTCAGTGTTAAGCAATTTACAGTAGCCCACTACTAAAGTTATTTATTGTTAAGTTTTATTTCCTGATCAGTCAAATGTAGACCAACTTTAGTTTAGTCTTATTAAATTTGTGTATGATTTTTCTTGGATAACTGTCATTTTTGTTGGTTAAGATAAAAGTAGTGTAATTTTCCCCTAATAAACCAGATGGCTACAATTTTCTATATATAAATAATTATAATGATTCCCATACTCAAATTTTTAATTACACTCTGGTTTTCAAAGGTGAAGTGCAATGATTTTCTTGAAAATTAAAATCAAAGAAACCTTATGTCTCATATGGTTGCCCAAAGGAGGTAATTAGATCAATTATGATTGGTTGTTATTAATGTATGCCACTTGAGTGTAATGTATGCCACTCTTTGGTCATTGATTCTTAGCTTATGGTTTTAGTAGAAATTTAGACATTTCCTACTTATATTTCTGTATATTTCCAGAGAATGTAGCAATTTAAAAGTTCATTTTTCAAAGGAGTTGGATCTTGTTCAAATGACTGGCTGTCAATATTTCTAGATGCATTTTATAAATAACTGATACCGACAAACATACACTTGATCACCTAGAGTGTTGGTTGTGGTGTTCAACCTAGCTAGTGAAGTGGTAAACAAGATTAAAACTAGTGAGAAAGGTCGCATATCTTTTTATAGTTATATAAGACACTACATTTTGAAGTTTTCTTTATCAAAATAAACAAAACAAATGAATCTTAATGTGATCATTCAAGGAAATTTAAAAATGTTTTCTATCTGTTGTACGTTGTGGTTTACTAGTTTTACCAAGCAGTTTAACATAGTGTCCATAGAACCCAATCAATTGAAATAAATTATGTTAGGATTTAAAGAAGTTTTAGTTGTCACAGTAAAATAATGCAAAACCCAGCAATCTGTACTTACTACTTATGGACAAGTTACCAATATTAAATGTTTTAGCTAGTTTTGCTTTGGACTAACTATTAAATGTGTATGTTGTCTGTTTCTGCCTTATTTGTGTTCATTTCTTAGTCTTATTCTTTAAGTTTATTTTGTTTTTATTTATTTTCATACAAACACTGTTCAAATGATTGATATTTAGATCTGCTTGAGCACACTATGCACTTGTTGGTGTAATTTCAGTATCAACCAATCCTTTAGTTATAAGCTGATTCTTCTGAGAAACACATACACAAACAATAAGATTGCGCAAAAATAAAAATAAGGAAACATTCTTTTAATTTTTGCATTTTTTGATCAACCTAAAAATATCTTCCCTAACAGCTTATAATAGCTTCTGTAAATTTAAAATTTGTTTTGCAATGTTATCATGACATGTTTCCCTAGATTCAGTGCTATGGTTATCAGTTATTAATTGGACATAAGCAGTAATGATCACAGATGCAGAATTAATTTACTCATTGATAAGACTATCTTCAGTGTAATTGCATGTAAATAGCTAAGTAGTCTTTGACTGTTGGTAATATATTTCAAATACAAAAGTGTAGGACATTTAAACATATTTCAGTAAAAAAAGAAAACATTTATCGTTTTTGGCTCTAATTATTCTAGATATTTTTAAACATAGATTTTATATTTTGTTTTAAAATAAAAATATATACAGTATTTAAAAATTAGAGTTAGAAGTACCATGTTTTTTTATTAAGTTTTTGAAATAGTAACTAATTACTTGCTTAGCATTGAATAACAACATTGTGATAATCGATTATTGCTCAGGAATTACTTCTGTGACTATTTTTACCTTGACTGAAATTTGGGTTTCTTGAAATGATTTAGGCTAGTCATTTTCTTCTATTTGCAAAATATGTTATGCAACAATAAACATTTACATTGGAAAAAATTATTTAAGTGATCAGATAGTAGATGTTTGAAAAATAAGAAGTGAATTTCTAGTAGAATGTTGTAGCTTGTAAATTCTAACCAACGGATAAAAAATATTCCATCTACTCGTATATTGTAAACTTTGTCTTGTCTATAGAGTATAGGATTCCAAGAAATTGCAGTTTGTTTAGTCATCAAGAAAGTACTTGAGCCTCCCACCCTTTTTTTGATCTGTTGATTTTAGTTGTTGAAGCAAAAAGACCAAATCCCTTAAGATTATTGAATCATTGAAACTAAAAAGCCTAGGCGATTGTTGATAATTACTTTATTCTGTATTGAACAATCACCACATATTAATGAAATATGTTGAAATTTCTTTAATTAATTCCTGTAGATATTCTGAAGACTGCCAAGTCTACGTTAGTGATATTGAAGACAACTTGTTTTTACTAGACTCACTAAAACTTCAAAATATTTGGCCATTAGAAAGGCTTACAAACGTCAACATTGTCCATCATATAAACCATACAGCTGCATTGGCTATAAACTTTAAAGGCTTTCTGTAGAATTTTTCAATTGCTGCATTATTTTCCTTTTCTACTTTGTACAATACAAATTTTCTTCCTAAACAGTAACAAACACTGACTTTTAAAATCAATTGAACATATTTAAGAAATATGACATTGCACTGAAATGCACAGCCAGGAGGCGAATGAGAGCCTCGCAAATGGTTCAGTAAAGTTGGTTGTTCCTTGGTTGACTTGAGGGTATCTCCTTAGTTTTAACATTATCAATCTACCAATACTTTTGGATGTTGACTACATGTGCGTGTGTTGTTTGGCAGGTAAGGATGGCAGTAAGGTGACGACAGTGGTGGCGACTCCAGGGCAAGGTCCCGACCGGCCGCTGGAAGTCTCATACACAGACACCAAGGTCATCGGCAACGGCAGCTTCGGAGTTGTCTACCAAGCCAAGCTGTGCGACTCCAGCGAGATGGTCGCTATCAAGAAGGTACTCCAGGACAAGAGGTTCAAGGTGAGTTGGACAAACGGTGGCAATGAATCCTTGGAATTATGGGAGTAGTGGGAAATCGGAATAAGCAGATTTCTTTAAAAAAAATCAACACATCTATAGTTAAATCATTGCAATCAGCTGTCACAAATCTCAGCTGTCAAACATAAAAGATTTTGCAATAGGCTGCAATCGTTTGAGATGATGATTTTGAAGGAGATGATAATAATTTCCACGCAATCATAGGAGACAATGATCATTTTTCTTGACATTTTAGTTTAGAAAGCTTGTCTATTGTTCACGGAGACATAACTAACTTTCCGTTGTTCTCTGTTATAATTACTATGTTCGGCAAATGTTGTAGCAACATTGATGATTTTCTGACATTAGTGGTATTACATTTATTACTATGAGTATTATTATGACATATGGTGTTGAGTTCTGGGGAAATGCTACAGATAGTAAAACAATATTTAAAATCCAAAAGAGAATTATAAGAGTTATCGCACAAGTTAATCCAAGGACGTCTTGCAGAAATTTGTGAACTCCTTTGAGGGCTATGCAATGATATATCGTTGTTTACCAAAATCTCTAAGGGATGTAGTGAGGAAGTATCTAAAAACTACTTATTTGAAAAAAGTAGCCAAAACGGCCATTGGCGAACTGCATGTTTATAGGATACAACACCAACAACCACTTTGCTAAAAGATCGCCCAATCCAATGAATCTGGTGTATGTATAAAACAAGGATTATGAACACCTCACTATGCCCCAGTGGTTGTAGTATATGGCTAAAAACACAAAGGTCTCCAATTATTTTTGAACCCGAGCAAAATATCCCACTGGCCAAGTGGCACACATCCTAGCCACCTTGGCTATCTGTTCTTGGAGACTATGGAGTAAAAACCGGTATTTAAGCTGAAGTCAACAATTGCCAACAGATTGCGCTACCAATGACGCTATACCCAAGTTGTTCAATGCGTTACTAGGTAGCAGCAATAATTAGACACGGTCTGTTTTGAGGGTATTTTTTCAATTGGATCTTCAACAAAACTGATCATAAATGGTATTCTGTGTGAAATATGTTGTCTTTTTTTATCTAATTTGAATGTGTTTTTTTTTTACAGAACCGAGAGCTTCAAATAATGAGGCGTTTAGAACACTGTAACATAGTAAAACTTAAATATTTCTTCTATTCAAGTGGAGACAAGGTAAGTTAAAAAAAAACACTGTACAGAATATAAATTGATAACTTACCCTAAGTTTAAAAAAAAATTTTAACCAAGGTTACAGAATGTTTTCTCTATTTATTTGTAAATACAGTAGGTACAACCCCTCTAATCCGTCACATGCTAGATTTGGCTCCGATCGCAGGGAGATGACGATAAAGATTCTGTGACTGCGGAAAACGCTGATGTGATGTTTCTGCAAATTTTTGCCGCTATAGTATTGCAGAAAACGGTGATGTGTCCATGACCATGGGGGATGAACAAGCTTTGACGCAACTGCAGGAGACTGTGCTGATGTCCACACGACTATGGGAAGGCGAGGAGTTACACTAGCTGATAGCTCTTGACTGCTACTAACTTTCTGATCGCTACCCATGACTGTCGGTCGCTCCCGATGTCTGCCCATAGGTCCTGATATCTGTTCATCACTCCCAATGTCTCCCAAATGCTACTGAATTTTTCAAAAATTACAGACATCTGCTGAGCTCCAGACTGTTGCCAACTCTTCCAATCGCTACTGATAACTACTAAACTTGCTAATATGGCTTGAAAAAGCATGCAAAAAATTCTGTATACTGATGCTGGATTATTGAAAGTACTTCATTAGCAGGCATTTACTGTTTTAGACATAATTAGATTAAATTAGATGATACATTTTATCAGAGAAATCAATATGCATCTAAAAAATTACAAATGAAGAATGTTAATGATAAATCCAGATGTATCATAACACAACTTATACTTTTATTTCATTCTAAAAATACTAAATATTCTTTAGAGTAAAATATTTGTATATACAAAACCCACTATTTTTTTTCTTTTACAGAAGGACGAGGTTTATTTGAACTTAGTGTTGGAATACATCCCAGAGACTGTTTATAAAGTGGCGAGGCATTATAGTAAATCCAAACAGACTATACCTACTAGTTTTATAAAGGTAAGGTGCAAGTTTGTGCATTTCTTTTATTACCATGCAAAATTTGTATTCAAGTGTGGTAAAGGTACAGTGCTAAAAAATAGGGTTTACCTTAGTCTACAGCTCAATGAGTTGTAACTTTCGTTACGGCCGTTTCGGCATAAATATGCTATCATCAGACGTCTTCGGCTGAAGCAGCGTCATCACAGTGAGTAGAAACACATAACACACACACAATACATTTTACAGGGTGTCCACCGACCGGGAAAACCGGGAATTATGCGTGAATTTCGTATTTTACCGGGAATTTTCAATTTGCCACAATTGCGCATGAAGATGACGTTTCCGTGACCGCGGGAGACGACGATGACGTTTCCGTGACCGCGGGTGACGACAATGACGTTTTCGTGACCGTGGGTGACGATGATGACGTTACCGTGACCGCGGGAGACGACGATGACGTTTCCGTGACCGCAGAAAAGGAATTATAATGTTTCCGTTACCTCTGAAAAATAACAGAATTTTGTCACGACCAAGAAAGACAGTGGTGATATTTCTGTTACTGAGTGAGATATTCAGGATTTTTCAGTCATCGCAGAAATCAATGATGGTGTCTTTACAACAGTACGGGACAACAGTACTTGATATAACCTCGAGTTTGGCTTGACAAAAAATTTCAAAATGGCACACTTCTAGGAAGTTTTATTTTTTATGTTTTGTAATATCTTCATTTACCTTTAACGTGGTATTTATTTAATGTGTTTAGAAGGGTTTAGAATTTAAATTGGCTACGTGAATTTTTTGTAATTTCTGCATTAATTATTTCTGTAGGACATTTGAGATACAACCTTTAACTCCGAAATTAGATGCTATATGAAAGTACATAAAGACAGGGGTTGGTGTAGTAATCATTACAGAAAATTTGGTAAAGTTGAAATCAGTATTAAGAATCTATTTTTCAGGTGTCTGTACAGAGAAAAAAAATTGGTATTGACATATCACTTTTTTTAAGAAGTTGTTGATAAATTGCAGGTTTAAGGATTAGTTTTTAATTTTCAGATTATTTAAACAGTGATGTATAAAAATTGAAGCTACTTTTTCTCTGCTATATTAGAGGTATGCCAGGAGCGATTCCTGGTAACGGCGGGTCTATGTGTCTGTTTGCTGATGATTGTAATGTGCTTATTCCCGGAAGATCAAAACAACAGATTGAAACGTTTTCTCAGGAGAGTCTTTTATCCACTAAAGAATTCCTTGACCGAAAAAATCTGCTTATTAACACAGAAAAATCCAATTTTATATCATTTTCCACTAAACAACGTAGACAAAATTTTGAACCAAACATTTGCATAAAATCAGAAAGAATAAACCAAGTAAAGCAAACAAAATTTCTTGGTCTAATTATCGATAAACATCTATCTTGGGAGGGCCATGTGAACTATGTGGTTAAAAAGGTATCTTCCGGTATCCATGCGCTGCGACAGATGTTCAGAGTATGCAGTTTAGACACTTTAAGAGTTGTTTATTTCTCATTAATACATTCACATATTTCATATGGAATTGTTCTATACGGGGCAACAACAAAAACTAATTTAGATAAAGTACTAATTAAGCAGAAAAAAGCTATCAGGGTGATGAAAAATCTTAAAAAGAAAGAGCCAGTCAAGAGCATCTTTCGTGAATTACAAATATTAACAGTTTATAGTCTTTATATTTATGAAACAATAATTTATGCAAAACAGATCCAACTATCATCCAGCTCAACAGAACAATTAGTATATAACACCAGATTAAAAATTAACCTACCTCGGCATAATCTCGAATTTTACACTAAAAAGGCATCTTACATAGGGCTAAAATTTCTCCAGTCTATACCAGCTCACATCCGAAAAGAAACAAAATTTAATAAATTCAAGAAGCTCTTAAAGGAATATTTTTTAAGAACTCCCTGCTACTCAGTAACAGAATTCTTTAGTATTAGTAAAAAACAGTTAGGCCTAACTTAATTTGAATTCCAAATACTGTTATCCTTAAAGTCATGGTTTTGTTAAAAGTTCAAGTAAAGTAATTTTAGTACTCTTTTTATGTATTTAATTAGCAGTAAGCAATTTTGAATTTAGCTTATGACTCTATTCAAGTTCATGTAATGTGAAACTATAATGAATAAAGAATGTTTTGACTTTGACTTTGACTTTGACTTTGAACACTTGTGTCAGGCAATATTACAGTAATGATAAATTTTGTTTCTTTAATTGAGAATGCTCTTTCCGATAACTAAAATAGCGAGCTGTGTTACCGATAAAACAGCATTGCGAAAGTTGGCGCAAAACACGTTGGAAATTTTACTATGAAAAGTACGAACTGAACTCCCTGGATTTTTTTTTACTCATGAATTACTCATGCATTTTTTCTGGTTGGTCTGTTGTACACCCTGTTTTACAATTTAAAAAATAGGAAAATAAAATTAAAGTAACTCAGTGGTGCGTCAGACTGTGACGCTAAGGTAGCGATATCTTGGGTTTTCATCTTGGTGCTGCCAATGAGCAAAATTAACAGTACAGTTCTTTTCCGTACTGTACTGGCTCATCCCTTGCTTTGCTTAAATTAAATTAACACATTCAAGTAAATACATCAACTTGGCTAGATTTTTCGACTAATCGTTTTGTTATGGAAAACTTTCTCACCTGAGGACAGTATCAGATTGCAGATACCAAAACATGATAACTGTGTGTGTTGTATTAACTGTGGTGGAAAATGACTGCAACAATCTCTTCATTCTTCAATAACAAAGAATGTCATCGCCAAAAATGAAATTCAAAGTGTTAAGAACTGTTGTTTGTCCAGTTGTACATGTATCAACTGTTCCGGAGCCTGGCGTACATCCACTCGTTAGGCATCTGCCATCGAGACATCAAGCCACAGAACCTATTGCTGGACCCAGAGACAGGTGTACTCAAGCTGTGTGACTTTGGCTCAGCCAAGCATTTGGTCAAGGGAGAGCCTAACGTGTCATACATCTGCTCACGGTACTACCGAGCTCCCGAGCTCATCTTCGGGGCTATCGACTACACTACCAAGATTGGTAAGTTGTTGTGTTCTATGGCTTTTTCAGTTAGTTTAAGAGCCACCTTGGTAACTCTTAATAATAATAATATATCTTTATTGTCGTTTGGTAATATAAACATTACAATAGACAAGGTCAACATGTTTTGTTACATATGTTATATAAAATATTAAATATTCTACAGAAAATGTTAAAATTAAGTTAAAAGAATCTTAAAAGGATAAAGCATCAGTAATAATAAAAACTTTGAAATTAACAGGGAAAAGACCATAACACGAACAAAGAATCATCAAGACTGCTTGGCCTCACATTTAAGCGAATTTAACGTAGGACATGTGCACAAAAAACTACCCTAGGGTAGTTTTTCTGGTGTTTGCACCCTGTCATCAATACATCTATAATGAGATATTTTACTCAACTGGTCATTTTTGTTTTGTTTTACAGTCTGAAATTTGCTTGTATACCATCAATATTCGCAACTTATTATAGCCTAAGGGCCGGACTACACGAGCATAAGGAACGCCACCGACCGTCTGCTTTTTTTGCAGAGCCAATAGCTTTATATGATGTGGACTACACGAGCGTTTTGTCTACCCGGTGAGGACGCAAAATCTAACGCAGATCTAACGTCTCTGGATGCGTAAAATACGCGGGCGCACCGGACTACACGAAGCAGCAACTAGCATTTCTCCTGCGCGTTGATACATCCCTCCCCTCACTTGGGCGAGTCAAATTCTGCATCTGCACTACTTGTTGTATTTGGAGTCGTCTGATTCTGTTTTGTGCCTTAATATTTGTATTTGTTTTGCTGAAAAAGTTTGTCTGGGTACATTCTATGGGTATTAAACAATAATTGAAACTGAACTGTTACTAAACGACTTGATAATGTTCGGTGTGACTACCAACGCCTCTTTGCACGACATTTCTTCTTAACAGCCTGCAACAATACCATACCAGCTATACATCCGACCTGTATCGTGTCCATTCCATATTGGAACGGTCCAAATGTTAGTCACATTGGGCGAGGACAGTCGGCGGCGTTCTATTCGCTCATGCAGTCAATGTTTTCGCGTTTAATCCGCTGCTGATTGTCGACTTTGTGTAGTCCTAGACATTTTTGCGCGTACTTTTTAGACATTAGACATTATTTATTTGCACATAACATTCTTTTAGATGTGATAACATATAGAACAGGTGCATTGTCAAAATTGAGCCTAGACTAGAAAAATACAAAGTACAAAGTAACAGGAAAAAAATACCTAGCCAAATAATGTAAATACAAGTTAAGAAAATTAAAAACAAAAAAATTAACTCAAGGGATGGTTATAGAATTCTTCTATTTTATAAAATGCACGTTCAAGGAGTCCATTTTTCAATGTTTCTTGAAACTTGTTTGAACTCATTATTTTATAATATACCGGTAGTTTATTATACATTTTTAAACCTGCATACAAAGGACTTTTTTCAAATATGGTCAAACGGTGATTTAGTAATCTGAAAATTGTTTCGTTTCTTGTACTGTAGTTGTGTGTGAATTTGAATGAATCCGGGAGGTTATTTTTTATATTGTGTATGTAATTTAATAATTCAAATATGTATAGTCCTGTGAGTGTTTGAATTTTTAAATTTTGAAAGTGTAATTTACAAGGACTTGAGTACGGATTATATTTGTTATTATTATAATTATGTTATGTTATTTACCTATAATTGTTATTATTTATAGCTTACAAGGACTATCGGCGGCATTTCATACGCTCGTGTAGTCCGGCCCTAACACTCAACCACTCATCTGTCTATGTGTGGTAATAAAATGAAACTAGGGGACCATAGCAGAAATTTCTGCTGTTTAGTTATATATACAAATTGAACTTAAATACACACTTTTTACACATTTAGTCGTGGTGTACATCAGCTGGTATACTTAAAACAGCTTATAGAAACACTGTAGCAGTACTTCCCATTATAAAATGACTGGATCTTTGAGGGCCTGTGGGGCAGAGCAGGAGTAATTTTTGACACTTCTGATATCTTTACCACCGTAAACCTTTCAAATGAACCCTCAACAGCCATGCTACCTTTTTCCTAGCTCGAGATATTTCGTGGGGACCGATTCGCTTACGGAATTACATTAAAATGAAATGTTTATTCACCACATCAAGTTTTACAAAACCTAACCACACAAATTTATGATATGGATGTAATATAGAGCACAAGGGCCTAGGTTTTTAGGATTTTTGGGAGGATAGAAGTTGCGATGGTCAATGTTTTGTTGTTCGTTTACATTCTGAATCAGACAACCGGCGTAGTTCATGCCGGCCCAAAATTATCGTGCACTCTCAGTTATTTATCGTATCCAAGTCTGATAAGTAAATGGAATCAGGGAACTGCTCTTGCTTTTTACAAAACGAAATAGTTGTAGACTGAAAACATCCAAATGGAGGTAGCAGTGGCACGGTAACTCTGCTAGAAAATCGAGCCGCTGTGTAATGTTGTTATGTTGGTACCACCAGACAAATCAACCAGCTCATTGGCTGTTGGCTTAATTGCAATCCCACAATCCCCTGGTTCCATAGTACTAGTCCCGTAGTACATGTGGAGGCCAATGTATCTCAACTGCTTTTACTGCTACCGTCGGTTGTAGGTTATAGCTCTAGTTCAGCGTGAGTGTTCGAGCAACTATTGCCAGTATCATAGACTTAACCTTGACCGCCCAAAATAAGTATTTGTCTGGGTTGCAATTGTGGAACTGTACCGTAGACACTAGACAGACGATTCAACGATTTACTCAGTTACACAATACGATTCTCAATCAATGCTCGACTGTGGATTGAATTGATGTTTAGTCTTTAATATGTTATTTAAAATTAGAGATGGACGGGTCCCGAATTTTCGGGAATTTTTCGGGGGAAAAATATGCCCGATTATCGGGACGGGATTACATTTGATTCGGGAATTTTTCGGGACGGGATTTGGTCCGATTGTCGGCGATTTTTCCGCTTCGCGAGTGCCGATAACGCCGCTATTGCGAGCAATACGTCTGCGAATGCAGGAGACGAAGTTCTACCGACGATCTCGCCGTCACCGCGAAGTTCTACCGACGATCGCGCCGTGACCACGAGTCATACCGACGATCACGCCGTGACCGCGAGTCATACCAACGATCGCGCCGTTACCGCGGAGTCATACTGACGATCATGACGTGATGGCGAGTCATACCGACGATCATGCCGTGATGGCGAGTCATACCGACGATCACGACGTGACCGTGGAGTCATACCGACGATCGTGCCGTAACCGCGGAGTCATGCCGACGATCGTGCCGTGATCTTGAGTAATACCGACAATCGTGCCGTGATCGCGAGTCATACTGACGATCGTCCCGTGACCGCGGAGTCATACCGACGATCACGCCGTGACCGCGGAGTCATACCGACGATCATGCCGTGACCGCGAGTCATACCGACGATCATGCCGTGACCGCGAGTCATACCGACGATCATGCCGTGACCGCGAGTCATACCGACGATCATGCCGTGACCGCGAGTCATACCGACGATCACCCCGTGACCACGAGTCATACCGACGATCACACCGTGACCGCGGTCATTTTGACGATCGCACCATGGCTGCGAGTCATTTCGACCGCGAGTCACAAGTTTCTATAGGTACCTGTAAGTTGTTACCAATTTTTTGGTTTTTATAATTCAGTGCTACAAACGGTAAAAATTGATTGCGTCTTTTTTGCAATACTCAAGACTTTCTTTTTATGCACTGAAAGAAATCCCGTCTCGTCCCATCCCGAAAATCGGGAAGGAAATAAAAATCCCGTCCCGAACTAAAAATTCAATCCCGTCCATCCCTATTTAAAATAAAATGCTATGAACAGAGTAGGCCGTTTCTTATCGATCAATGAATTTAAAATGATAAAGTGTACCTACAACAACCATAAAAAACCAATAATAAATATTTCCCATCCAAATAACCGACCGACCGTTCGATTTAGGTTAATAGGTTTTAAAAGATTTAACCGAGTAGTCGTCTGTTATTTTTTCCGTGTGTCAAAAGTAATAACGTAACTTTTCATTGCAAAGAGTATGTCATTTATGGTTATTGTAATATTTATTATTAAATTGTTCCTATTCCATTCTTGCTTTTTTAATCATCATAGGCCAGTTTGTACATTTTTTTGGACTCAAGATTCAAGATTCGATTTTTTTAGGATTCAGATTTGGATTCGAGATTCAAAATTCCTAGATTTATCCATCACTACAAATAAGGTAGGTTAGTTAGTAAGGTTTTTTGGGTTTAAATATGACAAAAAGTGTCCTAATGTTATTGGTATTAATGGTATCAGCCAAAATAATCAATTTATTAGTAGGCAAGATCGTGGGCCGAGTTCTATATCAATACTTGTTGTAACAGACGTGTGGAGTGCGGGCTGTGTGTTGGCTGAGCTGTTGCTAGGACAACCCATCTTCCCTGGAGACTCTGGTGTGGACCAGCTGGTTGAGATCATCAAAGTGCTTGGCACACCTACACGGGAGCAGATACGCGAGATGAACCCAAATTACACAGAGTTCAAGTTCCCTCAGATAAAGTCACACCCATGGCAGAAGGTGAGTTAATACTTCCTACAGTGACTTGGTCACAAAAACTCCTGATACAAGATTAGACATCACCACATCTCTATGGACATAGACAAATAGAATTAAAATATAGACCGACAGCAGTGCTGCGGTTAGCATAAGTTCTGGCGTCCACTGCTAGGATTGCCGTGTAGTTAAATAGCGTGTGGCACTCCTAGCGGTGGATGCCAGAACTTATTCTAACCGTAGCACTACTGTCAGTCTTTAATTCTATTTGTCTATGCAGTGGACCAGCTGATTTAAAAAGAATACTGTTGATTGAGCTATTCGTAGTGCGCATAGTGTCAAAATTCTATTTTCTGAAAAATAAAAACTGAATAGTTGTTGGGGCACAACAGAAACTATATTTTACAGTCGGTTTCACTTCAGCCTATTCTCTTAAGAAGTGTCATGTTTTGTGTCTTTTGATTGTATCTATTAGCCCCTGGAGTATAATTTTATAAGGTAAGCTAGCTGAACTCTTACTCCATTATTTACAATAAATTGTTCCAACAGAGATAACTAATTTACACCAGCACACACTGTCAGTGGCTCAAGTCAACTACTCCTATTCTAAAACTGATGGCAAAAAGATTCTATTGACTCCTATTTTAGTAGATGCTATACAATAGTTTACGATCTCACTGATTTACTATTTTTTAAATGCAGGTTGGGAATATTAGAAGGAAGCCGTAGAACTTGCCTTGTTGCATTATCAGTTTTAGATAAGAAACACCCTTTAGTTTCAAAACACTTTTTTTTCAAAATTAGTTTAATGATACACGGCGATGCTTTTGTAAAATGACAGACAATTCCTTCATTGCAGTTCTTGCTCCAGCAAATGTCTGTTCCGAAATGTACAACTGACCACCAAAAGATAAGAGTAAGTGTGTCTGTGTGTGTGTGTGTGTGCGTGTGCTCCCCCTAACTCGATCAAGGGACGGACGGGAGCAACGGAACACAACTCGACTCCAATTTAGGGAATTTATTGAAAATGTTTTTCAGTTTTTCCATTGTAACGAAACTTAAGTTATCAAAACTGTTACTAAACTAGGCATACAATTTAAAGGAACAGTTAAATTCACAAGGGATTATTCATTTGGTTTGAATATTCTCTTCTACTGACTTTTAAATTATTTTTTTGTGGGTAAAAGTAAATCATCAAAATGAATGTGTGATGCTTCTCCTTCATAGTTTTTATTTGCAATATTTTTTTGAAAGATCTACAATTTGTTGTTAAGGTTAGACAATAGACAATAGACAAATAGACAAATTCTTTATTCCTTCAACAATACACATATTGTAATAGACATCGTCAAACTTAACAAGCAATAACAAAATATCAAGGCAACAAATATTTTGTCAAAAGATACATATAATACATAAATTAAGTCACATAGATAAAATGTATACTGCAGGCATGCCTTGTGGCTACTCTTGAGGATCACCAAGTATCACTCGGGAGTTTTAGCCCAGGAACTAAACGCAACATTGTCTATTTTTATCTTGTTAAATATTTTATACTAGATTTTGTGTGTACAGCTTTGTTCTCATCTTAAATTTTGTCGGGACTGTAGTGAAACCCAAAGTTAGAGTAGATTGGAAATGCACCAAACTTATTTTACTAGATTGCTGATTTGTAAAACAACTCCAATCCAAGAAATCTTATCCTTATCTGAACTTGAGGCCCCTTTAGCTCCAGCCAAAATATTTGGACTCTGTTTACTAAACACCTTGGCCACCAACCCCTGGATAGAATATCCCTAGTTCCTTTCTCTTCTAGGTTTAAGCCCGTTAAAAAAAATTATATTTTTGTTTTAGTACCCATAGTAATTCATTAGTACTTCATTACAAAGTAAAGTTATAATATAATATGTATGTATTCACACCTTTAAACTTCAATGAATATCAGTCAGGGTTAAGTGGAAGAATGTACCCATTATACTTCTCAGTTATTTTAATGCGTAAAGGTGCAAACATTTATTTGAAGTAATTAGTAAACCAATATTCACCCGTCTGTCCCTTATTTCAATAATCGCTTAACTGCTCTTCAGGAATACTTTTCATTAAAAAATGTGTCATTGGATTAATGCACCATTGTTCATTTTGAGATCAAAAAGTGTTAGTAATTTTTCCTCTGTATCATTTACTTTTAAATTTTATAAAGTTGTTTAAGAAGTTTAACATATTAACAACGATTTATGTTCAGTTCACCCTCAATGTAAAGAATTATATAATAACTTGAATTATTTACCTTTTCATTTGAATATTTTATATTTATAGTCTAGGCATATTAGGAAAGTTAGCGGAAAGTTTAGGTACAGTCCTAATCATCACTTTTCTTAACGTTTTTTGGGTCGCTGAACATGAATGTGAGGTTTGCTGGCGGATATTTTGCCCGGAACATTGTTTATTTTGTGAAAAACCTAAGCATTTTGGCACTTTTTTAGGTTTTGGGGTAAATCTCGGTTATTATGGGTTTTTGAGAAGACCCTGCTTTGTAAAATTAAAGAAGACAAAATCTACTACAAGTTTCCTATATAATATTTGTTTCTACGACGAACCGTTACGCCACTAGAGCACGCCAAAAATGACCAGAAGTACCAAAAATTAAAATAAACCCTAACCGTTTTACAAAGGTTTTACATTAGGTTTCCATGGAAACAACCCATGTTACGATAATTTGAACTATTTATTCATGATAATGAACTGAAACACACTTGATAAATCTATCTATGTATGATGTATGACTGACTGCTGGAACATTTCCCGTTCCCACAAAACCCCCATTTATTTTCTCAGCACAGGGATGTTGCTGGCCACAGGGTTGACTGCTATAGTGATAGAGAAAAAATGATGAAAGACATTAAAAGAGTTGTAGATGACTTTAACTTTGGCAACGTCAAATTCAGACGAGCAGACCGTGTCCAGCCACTTGCCATAATAAATAACGCGATGAAAGTAGAGAATTCTTACCCGTAAACCCCAACACATTGTTTCAACGTATCAGCATCGCTAGGGATTCTGATGAAGAACTAAACCACTTCTTGTCCTACGAACTGGGTCCATACTCTTTCTCGTTGTTTGATAATAACGGTTTGCACAAGAAACCAAATCAAATCTTTATAGGCCTAAAGCCCCTGTCCCCATTGAAAACAAGCACTTCCATGGTCAAGTGCAGTATGTTATTGATGGTGGGTTCCTAACTACACAAAAGCTATGACCAGAGCATCAACCATCAAAAACCAAGAAAAACTTAATCGACAACATACTCACCACTCCTTGCCTTGCTATAAAGAAGAAAACTGTAGGCAGCTGAGAATATTCAAAGATAAACTTGGTCCTCAGTTTCTTACCCTTGAGGAAGCCTTAGAAGCAAATTAGGATGTGGAAGAAGATGCTTTCTCTCCTCTTGGGCCCTCAAAAAAAAAGGATGGATGGAATGCCAACCTTCAACCCGAAGAGAGTGAATAACATGATTCTACCTACCAACCTATTGCTATTCATGAGGTTATTAACATTATAAAAAAAGATGGTCACCATTTTCCTTAATTTAATCTTAAAAGACGGGTATTTATTTCAGGTGGAGGATTGTGGTCAGAGGACACACTAGTTTGTTTATTTTTAAGTGTGTTTCAGTTTATTATCATAAATAAATAGTTAAAATTATCGAAACATGGGTTGGTTCCATGGAAACCTAATGTAAAATGGCAGCATTTAGCAATGTTTTTAATTTTTTTGTACTTCTGGCCTTTTTTAGTGTGCTCTAGTGGCAAAACGGTTCGTCGTAGAAACAAACATTATATAGGAAACCTGTAGTAAATTTTGTCATCTTTAATTTTACAAAGCAGGGTTTTCTCAAAAACCCATACTTAGCGAGCTTTGCCCGAAAAACCTAAAAAAGTGCCCAAATTTTAAGGTTTTTACAAAATAAACAATGTTTCGGGCAAAATATCTCTTAGCAAACCTCATATTCGTGTTTAACGACCCAAAAAACATAATGAAAAGTGATGATTAGGACTGTACCTAAACCTTCCGCTAACTGCCACTTATACTCCTAATATTCCTAGCCTATTAATGTTGTGGGGATTTTTAAACATGGTAACTAAAACTGAATAACTTTTGGAAAATAAAAATTTTATTTTAGAGTAGAGGTGTGCGGATAGTGAAATTTGAGTTTGTTTCGGATAATTAGATCCGGACAATCAGTCCGAATTTGGATAGTTTGACGTCCAAGTACTTAATGTATCATTATTAAGGTTAATAGTTTATAATTTGCATTTTTATATACAAAAACTACAATATGAATATTGTACAATTACTATTGTGATACGTAAGTCATTAATCTTGGATCAGTTATAAAAATTGAAGTTTAAATTCACAGCTTACTCAAACTTAACAAAAAAGTTTCAAAACATTTTACAGCAATAAATCACGTAAAGAACCTAAGAGTTTTGTATGGGAAGTCATGTTAAGACTTTGACGTGTTTAAAAATTACAGGTATCTACTTGTAGATTATAAGCAGTTTATGCTCATCGAGAAAGGTATATGAGGTTGAGAAGGCTTCAGTGAGGTAGAGAACAAATACATTGATAATGTATCCCCGGATGTTAATATGACTAACGATGACTCAGAATCTAATTATTGTACTTATATAAACTTAATTATTGTAATATAAATAGCTTATATTTCGCTACGCAGTGTCTCGGTGTATGCCTTATAATCTTGATATAAATAACTTAAACAGCTCGGCAATGTCTTAGTGTATTCCTTATGTCGTGATGTAAGAGTTGAGTTGCTTATAGGTGACCCCTTTGTGCATGAATCGAATCACAATTTTTATTACCGTAGAACTTGATTGTGATTTGATGCATCAAATCTAATTAAATCGTAATTTGGATTATTTTTCAAAGCATTGTGGTAATTACACTTCCTTAGTCAAAGTCGTAGACGACGCGCCGACCGCTGATAGGTCGTTGGAAACGAAATACTGAAATTTTGTCCTGGGAAATTGATGATGGTTTTGAAGATTTTGTTTTCTGCCCAAAATTTCAAAATACATAGTCTATCCGAAAAAGTTGGATATTTAACAGATGGTGTCGGATATCAAATTTGGGCTTGGTTGGGAACCGAATCCGTCCCGATTTTTTGGATATCTGCGCACCTCTACTTTAGAGGGGACAAATTGTTTAAATGTTGCTGTGCAAAATTTATAAAAATAAATTAACCTGTTGTCCTTGAAAAAAACGCTTCAGCCAATGTTTCTTTTTTTTCAAAGTGCCTGACTAGTTATTGAAGATCTGTAAAACTCATCTAGACTTAATTTTATTTCTTTTTATGTCGTCATATTTTGTTTGTAGTAATATTTACTAATAGTTTTCCTCGTGTTTTAACAGGTAAACAAATTACTCGCATCTGTACCGTACTGTAACTCAACCGATGTATAAAATGTTTTTATAAAGTCAGTACATTATACAGTGTGATTGAAAAGTCCCGGAACGGTGTACTATATTTTTTACCTTTATAGATATTACTTTATCTATAAAGGCTAATACAACTTGGTGTTGGTATATCAATAATAACCATAAGTCTACTCTTTCAAGCCATTATTACATTTTTACCTCTTAAAGGGGATAGCCCACCAGGAGTAAGACGAAATTCTCAAATAGCAGCATAGATCAAGTTTAGTATCAAATCAAAGGTCTTATGTAGTAAAACACAATGCTATAAACCCGAACTCAAACGGACAAGCAAGTCAAAAATGGCAGCCGTTCAAATATTTCTTTAATCTGCCATTTAGATCTTTGAACGGCTGCTATTTTTTACCCAGCTTTTATTTTGAGCTCAAATTTGTGACATTGTATTCTACTAATAAAGACCTTTAATGTGATGTGCATATCGACCTATGCTTACGTTTATGATTCTGACTTCTAGTATTCCTACAAGATAATAAGCATTGCAAGTTCAAGGAATCTTTTAACAGAATTTTTACTCTATTGTCTGTTTGAGTTTGTGTTTGTGGCATTGTGTTTTACTAATAATAGAGACCTTTAATTTGATAGCAAACTCGACCTATGATGCTATTTAAGAATATTGTCTGACTCCTCTTGGGCCGTCCTCCTTAAGGGATGAAAAAGTAATAATAGCTTGTTTTATGGCTATAATTTATTTATGAAGTTAAATTTCTTTATCCATAATAGTATAAAATTTATTTCACCGTTCCGGGACTTTTCAATCACACTGTATAACACATGTTGTTCCTTTATCAGTTTTTATATTTTTGTTTGCAGAATGATAAATAAATCTTGTAGAATGACAAATAAGTCTGTACTAAACCTATATTTATATGCTTAAGTTGTATTGGATACAATTTCCTTCTCAAATTTAAAAATTATTATTTGAATGTAATCTAAAGACTTTTTTCCTGATTAATGAATCGGTTTTAACATTCTATGCTAAGCCTAGCTACTCAGAGGTTTTGTTTTGTTTAACTATTTCCTTGGGTTTATTATAAAGGGTACTAAGTCAAAAAGTAAACTTCACTCCTTAAGTATTTTTATCACACATTGAAACCATTTTTTACCCTTCATATATGTATTTTACCTATATGGAGCTAGGTGCAATGTTAGTAAAAGTAGCGGAATTGACATTTGATTAGAAAGATTGTGTTATCTTCCTTGCCCTATAAACACACATTTAATGTTTGGTAATATAACTGTAAAAAATGCTCCTTTTTGGCAAATGGTTCTTTTTAAATTGTGTCTGTTGTAGTTTTTAAAAAATTCTATGAGATTTTTTGTGTAACCTGGAATAACTTCTGTGTGCAAACAATGTGACTAATGTAGGGTTTGAAGATATATTAAGAGTTATCTTTGAATGTAACACCTAAATGAACTGTACCTCTTGTTGTTACTTTAAGGCCAAGATGAATGAAGGATGAGTGATACCTGTTTATGAATGAGTAGAATGGAAGTTTTACCAGCTGATTTCTACCCATAACTAGATTTTCTGTGTATTATAGCAAACTTTTCTTAAAGGGTTGGATATTTAAAGTCAGGTAGTATGTCTATGTTGGTAAAAAGTATCTTGTAACTTTTAATTAAAGTCTCATAACCCCAGCATAATTCTTTACATCCACTGCAGTAAAAAATATCATATGCTTACTGTTTTTGCCTATCATGATTAAAATATGAATATACAAGTTTTTGAAACTAGATATAGGAGGCACCTTCTTTAGATCTAGATCCTGGGATTAAGCTACATGATATTTTTTCTGATTAATGATTCAATAAATTTTAGTAATTTATTTTACAGGGTGCAGCAAAAAAACTAATATATTTTCTGCAGTGCACTGTTCAGCGACAGGTCTGAGGGTAGTGGGAGTAGGCTCGTTGGAAAGCCTACACATTACCATTTTTTGTAGTCATAGAGCAGTGGTCAACTGAGCTACATGCGGTTGTTATCGAGTTGTTAAAAAAAATAATGATTCAGTCATTACAACTCTGCGGCAGTTCCGTGCATTCATTCAATTAGGTCGACCTCCTTGTCGACTATGAGAGGTTCCGTTGTGATATTCTGTGTGGATAATTAACCAAATTAAACAGATTAGTATTCTAATTAATCTGTAGGGATGAATTTTAACCTTAACATTTGTGTAACTAAGCAGTCAGAAATGTTCAAGGCAGCCGCTTGTTTTTGGGCAGTACGAGGACTGTTTTCCACAGCAGCTCTATCGAATGTTAGTTGTCTGGCGTCTGACCTGACTTTGGACCCCTGTCAGCTTCCTTTAGGACGCAGAAGCCGTTGTTCTACAGTTAGTAACCCACCGCATGATTGTGCTACGCAACGGAACTTCTCCATCCATTTAACTGAAAGAATGCACGGAACTGCCGCTGAGTTGCAATGAATGAATTCACTAATTTTTAAATACGACTCAATAACAAACGCACATAGCTCAGGCGACCACTGCTCTACGACTACATATAATGGTATCCACCCTCCATCGACCTGTCCCTGAACATTGAGTGTGCTGCAGAAAATAGATTGGTTTTTTTGCTGTACCCTGTACCCTATGTATCTTAAATGCTAGGTAGTAGTGAAAACATAATACGATGTACAGTCCACTCTTGGTAATTCAAACACTTGATAATTCAAAACTTTCGGTAATTCAAAATGAAGGCTCAGTCCCTAGAGAATCTCTCAATATTTCAAATTTTTACCACGCATTTTGATACACTCGATATTTCAAAGTCCAGATAGAGGGCAGGTCAATTTGTAACACGCAGTAATTCGAAGTTTCGTCGGAAAAACACTCTATAATTCGAAGTAACTCAGTAATTCGAAGTTTCGTCGGTTAACACTCTATAATTCGAAGTCATGCTGTAATTCGAAGTTTCGTCGAAAAAACACTCTATTAATCAAAGTCACGCAGTAATTCGAAGTTTAGTCAGCAAAACACTCTATAATTCGAAGTGATCTCTTCCTGTTATAACAGGAAAGTATACAGTACAGTACATCCTGTTCCCATGGTAGGCTAGTGTTGGACGTTTTGATGTTTGTTTAGTTAGAGCAGTAGTCTGAGTTAGTTCGCTGACTTGTTTTTCTAAGTTGGCAATCCGATCTCTAGATTGCGCGACATCTCCTTGAGCACAAACGTAATTGTCGACAGCTGATAGTTCAGCTATTGGGGAAATATATAGCGCTAAATAACAGATTTCTTTGCAACTACAGTAACTGAAAAATAAGCCGTTGATTGTTTTAAAACGTACTAAAATACGGTATGATGTTTTATTGTAACGTGCTGTACCCTTGTATGTATTTAACAAATGAACTCTCTGTAATTCAAATGGTTTATTTTTCTCCCGATAAATCAAATTCTTGATAATTCAAAACTCTTGATAATTCAAATTTTTATGCTTGGCCCACCAATTTCGAATTATCAAGAGTCTACTGTATAGTAAATTACAATTTATTTACTTCCACAACTTGTGTGATTTTTATACGGTACTTTTATATTATACGGAGGCCACCAAAATACAGCGCGCTGTGGCGGTTAGGTTAGGTGGGGTTATCATAATTGTGTTATGTTTCATCTGGTATCGTTTGATTCATAACTAAACGAGGAAAGTCCAACAAACATATTTATGATAACCCAACCTAACCTAACAGCCGCAGCGCGCTGTAAAATAAAGAGGTTATAATACAAAAGTGCCTTTAATAAAAATGATTTTCATTTAATAATTCTGATTTGACTTTAGTATAGTCAAAATTAGTCTAGTAGTAAAACAGTGTAGGAACAAGTATTAATGTAAAAAAATACATTTCCGTATGGACCATCGTGCTGGGGGTATGTATATGGTTTTTGGCCGGCTGCCGGCTAGTATCATTGAATGGATCTGCCATTTGAAATACATTGCTTATTGACTCTCCGTACTGCATAGGGAACGTAGAATGGAGTATAGGAAAATAGTAACTGGCAGATAATGGTTCAAAGAATATCCATAACACCATTGATATTTCAACCATTTAGGGGGTTGAGAGGTTCAGCCCCTGTTTATCCACTATACTGCTTTGACTCGAAAAGCCCACTTGTGGTAGCAAAATATCATGTAAATTGCTTTTAAACTCTGCGTGCTATTAACAACCAGGAAATCTTTTCTGGGGCGAGTTATTATGTCTTCATTAATTTTCCTTCATGCGTTCCTATGCCAAATACTTCACCAATAAACTAAGATTAAAACACTCAGATAGAACTTAATTATTTACAACTAAGGTCATATTTACAACTAAGGTCATGAATAGTGTAGGTTTTTTATGGATGTAGGTATTATTTTGATAGTCAGGACTTTAGGGTTAGGCCTAGTGCTGTATGTTATAAATTACTTATGAATCTGCGCGGTGTTTGTACTGTATATTGGTATAATATATCGGCACAGTATTGGTACCGGTATTATATTTATTGTAAATAAAAATACATCTAAAACATTTCAAACGTTAATAGTGTGTTTTAAACGTTAACTCTTTCATTACAAGACAGTAGATTCCCTAATGAATTTGATGATCGGATTGTCCTTCAAAATCGATCACCTACCAACTTATGTACATATTTACTGTGTTTTAATTGAGAGTGTAAGTGCAAGTGTTAGGTTACTTTCTCTTTACATTCTGTAGTCTGTTTGTACTTATGTTTCCTCCAATGATTGTAATTGTGTTGTGTAGGTGTTCAGAGCCAGGACACCTGCAGAGGCTATTGACCTGGTGTCTCGGCTGCTAGAGTACACGCCCTCCTCACGTATCTCCCCACTGCAAGCCTGCGCCCACAACTTCTTTGACGAGCTGCGCGAACCCAACACCCGGTTGCCCAACGGCCGGCCCCTGCCTCCTCTCTTCAACTTTACAGAGACAGGTAACATTCGATAGATTTACGAAGACTCTTCACAGGTATTTTTGTACAAGGAGACTTTGCACCTGTCCTTCCTATGAGAAAGTGATTGCGAGTTAGATTTTCATCATCATTTAGGTCTGTCGAAACTTGTGTTAATAGTCTGCTATTCACCTCAGTGAAAAATGCTCAGTCTGTCTAATTCTTTAAACTTTTGTTCTAGTTTCATTTTTGCTTTTTCTTTTTCCATTTCCATTTCTTTGACGTTCAGTGATCTTAAATTCTTGTTCTAATCGTTCCTTTTCCCTCTCAATCTCTTGTAAATCAATTAGTTCTTGTAGCTCATCTTCAGCTTCTGTTTTTCTTGAGGATCTAATTGATTTGTTTCTCAATGATTTTTCTTTTTCCACTCTGCTCTCAGGTCTTATCCCTCTCAATCTCTTGTAAATCAATTAGTTCTTGTAGCTCATCTTCAGCTTCTGTTTTTCTTGAGGATCTAATTGATTTGTTTCTCAATGATTTTTCTTTTTCCACTCTGCTCTCAGGTCTTATATTCCTACCTCTCAGGCTCAGAGAATTCATATCATCCATAGGTTGGCTTGTTATTTCTTTCCAAGGACGTGTCAACACCGCTGCCCCCGCCATCAGGATTATTATACGCTTTGTCCTCCACCACTTCCATACCGGAGGAGGAGATCATAGTTGAATATAATATTGGCAGAACGCAGGTTGTTGGTAATTTGAATAGTAAAAAAGTATTTATAAAGAAAGAGAAGAGAGAGGTCTTGTTTTAATGAACAACAGAATGTAATTGATATTTGTTAAGAAAATATAAATAAATAAAAAAACAGCTGAACATATGATATTAAATAAAAAGTACAAAAGGGAAATTAATTGTACAGGACAAAATGTAAATATAATAAGTGGTGACAGACATGTTCAGGCATTGTAGGATTCATAATTGCTGCAGAATTTTGTCATTTAAAAGTACATATGCATTGTCGTGTTGACTAACGAATACACTTCAACATTACAGTGGACATAAAAATAATCAAACGGCACCTTAAACCAATTAATTAAATGGCAATATCACCAGTAACTCGGCTCACGGCTCACTGAATGATGTGACAAGACAGATTAGATGTAAAGTCAAGACTACCCGTCAACTTGGTCTATGCTGTGACATCACTTCTGATCAAGCGATTATGACATCCTCCAACACCTGAAGATGACTTCTTAACAATTTGTAACTAGTTGCACAATAATTGACAGTATAGTTATTTAAAAGCAGGTATCCAAACCAGTTTTTGATATTCAAGGTAGTTTTTAAGCTACAACAACAAATTTTTATTTCAAAAGGGTTTTCTTTTCAAGCAGTGGTAAAATATGTTTCCTTTTCTTATTACAGAGTTGAACATACAGCCTTCACTCAACTCGGTGCTGCTGCCTCGCCACGCCAACACCGCGGAGGGTGGAGGCAGTGGAGGGGGGAGTGGTAGTGCAGAGGGGGCCGGAGGGTCACAGGTACCCTCAGACCCAGCACCTACCCCTGACCCTGCCAGTCAGGCCAGCCAGCCCTCGGCAGACATGGCTTGAACATTATACAAGGTAACTCTATCCTACTAATATTATAAATGAGAAAGTTTGGATGTTTGTGACAAGTGAACGCGAAAAATACTGGTCGGATTGGGCTCAAATTTGGCATGATGATAGCTCACATTCCCGATTAACATATAGGCATATTCTTATTTCAAAAATCCTTTTGGGCTCCGCCCCAGTGGCTCTGGAGTTTCCCATGTTAACCTTATGAGAAATGGAATTATTGAATCTTAACAGCTGTTTCAATTAAACAAGTTGGTTCTGTTCTATGATGTTCAATAGCATTAAAGTTACAAGGATTACCAACAGGGTGCAGCACTATTATTTCTTTTACATTTATGACAACAGCTAATTTGCAACCAAAAGGTGAGTGAGCGTAGCGAACGAACTTCGACCTGGAGGCGAGTTAGCGTAGCGAACGAGCTAACCTGAAGGCAAGTGAGCGCAGCGAACGAGCTCCAACCTAAAGGTGAGTGAGCGCAGCGAACGAGCTCCAACCTAAAGGTGAGTGAGCGTAGCGAACAAACTTCAACCAGGACGTGATTGAGCCATGCGAACGAGATAATCTTGAAAATTAAGAAGTTAAACGGGGCAAAGCCCGCGGGTTACAGCTAGTATTTCTATAATACAAAGCCAGTAGACTCCTGATTATCCATGTTAGTGAGTGATTGTGAATAGCCAAAATCGTGGATAATAAACCTTGCCCTGGATGTAATTAACCTTGACATTGAATGGTTTTTGTATTGGATAGGTTTAACAGCTGGCTTACCTTACCAACGGAAATAGAAGAAAATGCACAAATAACACAAACACTTAGTTTTCAGAGCTATTAGCTCCTTCATCTTTTACGGAAATTGCAGTAGGATAGAGGACATTTTAGTCTTACAATATAAGTTGGTTAGAATCATATCTTGTGAACCCCTACAGGAACACTGTAAACCCCTGTTCATTCAGCTACAAATTCCAACAGTAATTAACATTTATTGAGCGGAGCTCTTATACGTCGACTCTTGTGCATTTCGTAATACGCAAACTCCTCCTAGACGGCTAAATCAATAGTTTTCAAATTTTGCATGGTGATAAAGAACATATCGGTGAGTGCTAACATCTATATGGCGTTGAACATGTCTCTCAGGAATCAGCCCCACTGGGTCTCAAAGTTTCAATGTAAACCTTATGGAAGCAGTATTTGACACATAAACAAAGACATATGATCAGCTGTTAACTTTTGAATGCAGTAGATAAAGAAATAGCTGATAGCATGATTCCACAGATATTAGAACAGAAACCGTAGGATGGATCATAAATATAATCAAAAGACGACACTAGCTTGAGGTCCGTGACGTAGAAAGTGGTGAAGGAAGTACTAAAGGTGAGTAGTCTGGAGTGTGGAAACTGTTTATGACGATTAGATTTAGGTATATGCATTCCTAAAATTTTATGGGAAGGGAGGAAAACGGGTCTGCGACGTAGGAAGTGGTGAAGGAAGTAGTCAAGGCGAGCTGTCCGGATTTTGGGAACTGTTTATGATGATTAAATTAAGGTATCTGCAATCCTAAAATACAATGTAATCCTAAAGGAAACAGGTGGTGAAAGAAGTAGTAAAGGCGAGCTGTTTGGGGTATGGGATCTGTTTATGACCATTAGATTAAGGTATCATATGATGCTATGGGAAGGGAGGGAAACAGGTCCGTGACATAGGAAGTGGTGAAGGAAGTAGTAAAGGCAAGCAGTCCGGACTGTGGGAACTGTTTGTGACGATTAGATTAAGGTATCTGCAATCCGAAAATGCTATGGGTGGGAAACAGGTCCGTGACGTAGGAAGTGGTGAAGGAAGTAGTAAAGGTGAGTTCTTCTGAGTGTGGGATCTGTTTATGACCAATAGATTAAGGTATTTGCAATCCAATAATGGGAAGGGAGGTAAACAGGTCCATGACGTAGGAAGTGGTGAAGGAAGTAGTAGAGGCGAGCAGTCCGGAGTGTGGGAACTTTTTATGACGAATGACGATTAGATTAAGGTATCTGCAATCCTAAACGCTATGGGAAGGGAGGGAAACAGATCCGTGACGTAGGAAGTGGTGGAGGAATTAGTAAATGCGAGCAGTCCGGAGTGTGGGAACTGTTTATGACGATTAGATTAAGGGATCTGGAATCCTAAAATGCTAGGGGAAGGGAGGGAAACACAGGGAAACAACAAAATTTTAAAAAGTGAAATTGTTCCAAAATCTTTCAAAACCTCAATTATTTTCCCTCTACACAAAAAAGGAGACCTCGATTTAGTTGAAAACTACCGTGGATTATCTTTTATTGATAGCGTGGCCAAAATTTTCACAAGTCTCATAAACAATAGAATACAAACGTGGGTTCAAGAAAATGAAATATTAACGGAATTCCAAGCGGGTTTTAGGAAAGGTTACTCCACCATTGATAACATTTTTAATCTTGCTTGTATGGTTAAGTTACGTCTATCACAAAAAAGGGGGAACCTTTATGCGTTTTTTGTTGACTTTAGTGCGGCTTTTGATACAATCGATCGAAAATCAATGTTTTTTAAACTGTCAAGTTTGGGATTATCGACGCGCATGCTGAATGTATTAAAAAACTACTACAACAACACCAGTTCGAGTGTGTGGTGTGAAGGAGGTGTAACTGACAGTTTCGAAACTAACACAGGTCTGAGGCAAGGCTGCAATCTCTCACCGACTTTATTCAGTTTATTTATCAATGACCTGCCGGAGGCGGTAGGAGGTGGATGCCATTTTGGTGGATCAAAAATAAATATGTTGCTTTACGCTGATGACATTATTCTTCTGTCTCCAACTAGTACCGGGCTGCAGCACATGATAAAAAATTTAGAAACCTACTGTGGGACATGGAATTTAACTGTAAATTTAAATAAATCAAAGATTATTGTTTTTAGAAATGGTGGGAAATTGAAGACGAGCGACAAATGGTGGTATATGGGTAAAATTATTGAGGTGGTAAATGAGTACAAATATTTAGGAATCACGTTCACAAGTTCCCTTTCATGGAGTAATCATTTCATAGAAAAAGCCAGAATAGGTCAATTTGCTGTTAATTCAGTCTGGAGTGCTTTATTTAAAAACCCAAAAGTACCGCTATGTTCTAAAATGTGTTGTTTCGAAGCGGTAGTGCGAGCTACAATCTGCTACGGAGCTCAGGTGTGGGGATGTATAGAAAGCGATCAAATAGAATCTGTTCAAAAAATATTTCTCAAAAAATTATTCTCTTTACCTTTTAACACACCAAATTATGCATTATATTTGGAAACATGCTGTGAAAAGTTATACTTTTATACTTTGAATGTAAATCTAAATTATTTATTGAAATGTTTAACGTTACCAGCAGGGAGATTGCCCAAAATTTTAGCTAAACAAATTATTTCAAGGAATGTATTTTGGAGTAAAGAATGGAAGCTTCTGGGACAACAATTTAATATAAATATTAATTTTCAAAATGATGATTTAGCGGAGCTTAGCGAACAGTTGAGGTCGGTAGCGGAGGGGCTACGTTGTAGGTGGAGGGGGGAGTGTGTTGGTCGAGCGCGCACCTCCGTCCATCACAGCCAGTTACTCACGCTCGACCTTGAACTTGGAGATAAGAGTCCCCTCAAACTCAACAATACTCGTACCATTTCGTGGATTCTTAAAGCAAGATTAGAGCTTATCAACCTGAACTACAAGCCTTGGCTCAATCAAAATTATAGATGTTCTTTATGTAACCAAAATGAAAATGAAACAGTCTATCATTTTATTGCACTTTGTCCGATTTTAAAACACATAAGACATTTGTGGCTGGGAAAACTTTTTTTTAAACGAAATAGAATATCATTAATTTATAAATGGGAGGAATTGGCGAGCTTTAGCTAGTTATCTAGAAAATGCTTGGAAGTATAGAAGGGAGATAGTGACAGAATTTAACTTTTGAATCTAAATAATTGTATATGAAACTCGTCTACAGATAAGTTAGGATCAGTATGTTTTTGTTTTTTTATCACTTATGTAATAATATTTCGTTCTCTCTTATATCTTTTCTCTTATGTCTTTATTTCAGAAATATTAATAAATCTTTTTAGTGCTCAATAGGCCTACTATTCTAATCTTAAGTAATGGAACAACTCTAGTGCCAACAAAACAGACGGTTATTAACCATTGTTTTTATGTGTCTGTGAAAAAATGTATTTATGTTCTAAATTGTACAATAAAGCACATTTTCATTTCATTTCATTTCATTTCATATAAGTTGGTTAGAATCATATCTTGTGAACCCCTACAGGAACACTGTAAACCCCTGTTCATTCAGCTACAAATTCCAACAGTAATTAACATTTATTGAGCGGAGCTCTTATACGTCGACTCTTGTGCATTTCGTAATACGCAAACTCCTCCTAGACGGCTAAATCAATCGTTTTCAAATTTTGCATGGTGATAAAGAACATATCGGCGAGTGCTAACATCTATATGGCGTTGAACATGTCTCTCAGGAATCAGCCCCACTGGGTCTCAAAGTTTCAATGTAAACCTTATGGAAGCAGTATTTGACACATAAACAAAGACATATGATCAGCTGTTAACTTTTGAATGCAGTAGATAAAGAAATAGCTGATAGCATGATTCCACAGATATTAGAACAGAAACCGTATGGATCATAAATATAATCAAAAGACGACACTAGCTTGAGGTCCGTGACGTAGAAAGTGGTGAAGGAAGTACTAAAGGTGAGTAGTCTGGAGTGTGGAAACTGTTTATGACGATTAGATTTAGGTATATGCATTCCTAAAATTTTATGGGAAGGGAGGAAAACGGGTCTGCGACGTAGGAAGTGGTGAAGGAAGTAGTCAAGGCGAGCTGTCCGGATTTTGGGAACTGTTTATGATGATTAAATTAAGGTATCTGCAATCCTAAAATACAATGTAATCCTAAAGGAAACAGGTGGTGAAAGAAGTAGTAAAGGCGAGCTGTTTGGGGTATGGGATCTGTTTATGACCATTAGATTAAGGTATCATATGATGCTATGGGAAGGGAGGGAAACAGGTCCGTGACATAGGAAGTGGTGAAGGAAGTAGTAAAGGCAAGCAGTCCGGACTGTGGGAACTGTTTGTGACGATTAGATTAAGGTATCTGCAATCCGAAAATGCTATGGGTGGGAAACAGGTCCGTGACGTAGGAAGTGGTGAAGGAAGTAGTAAAGGTGAGTTCTTCTGAGTGTGGGATCTGTTTATGACCAATAGATTAAGGTATTTGCAATCCAATAATGGGAAGGGAGGTAAACAGGTCCATGACGTAGGAAGTGGTGAAGGAAGTAGTAGAGGCGAGCAGTCCGGAGTGTGGGAACTTTTTATGACGAATGACGATTAGATTAAGGTATCTGCAATCCTAAACGCTATGGGAAGGGAGGGAAACAGATCCGTGACGTAGGAAGTGGTGGAGGAAGTAGTAAATGCGAGCAGTCCGGAGTGTGGGAACTGTTTATGACGATTAGATTAAGGGATCTGGAATCCTAAAATGCTAGGGGAAGGGAGGGAAACAGGTCCGAGACATAGGAAGTGGTGAAGGAAGTAGTCAAGGCGAGCTGTTCGGAGAGTGGGGACTGTTTATGACGATTAGATTAAGGTATCTACAATCTTAAAATTCTATGGGAAGAGAGTGAAACACGACCACGACGTAGGGGGTGGTGAAGGAAGTAGTAAAGGTGAGCAGTGTTGAGTGTGGGAATGGATTAATGTATCTGCAATGCTAAAACGCTATGGGAAGAGACTGTAGACTGTAGGCTAAAATGATTACAAAGCACAAATCGATACATATTTCGATACATGCAATCGTTTACAATAGAAAATTACAACTGAGTTGACAACAGCTGATTTTTACTCAATAGAGGCTAAAAACGATTTTTGCTCCCTAAAGAATTAAAATGCTACTGTAGACCCGCAACGCATGCATTAAAACTACTGTTTTTACTGCAGTATGACAAAAACAATATAATATTAACCCTTGATGACTCCGCTCAATTTTGTGGATGCCTCTGCGAACGCCACCTAGTATATTTGACTCTGTATCATATATTCTAAATAATCCCGACCTTATCAAACAAAATTCTCATGTTCATAATATAAGGAATAAAAACGTTGCTATTGCTACCATAGATTTTTTTAGACTGTCTAAAACTCTTAAAAGTCATATTGTAATCTCACTAAAAATATACAACAAGCTAATACATTTAATAACAAAATATCCTAAAAAAACTTTTAAATCTAAATTCCACAAATGGCTTTTGAACAACCCTTTTTATTCTCTAAAAGATTTTTTGAAATGCCTTTTATTAATTTTTAAGTAGAGCTAGCAAATCTACCAAATTACTGTTGGATTTAGTTGGTTATGGGGTTTAATAACTTCCATTATTCCAAATGCCTTGCATTTTCCTTAACAATAAGATTATTTGGTTGTAATATTAAAGTATGTATTGTAACATATCTCCTTGTGTGTAGTATTCTTGTAAATATTGTATTCATTAACTGACTATGCTAATTTTAGCAGTTTTCTGACATTGTCAATAATTTGTATAAATTCACAAGACAATTAACACATTTCATTTCATCAGTCGTAAAGTCTGTTATTGTTCTTGTAGGGTGCTGAAGTAGGAAGAAGAATGGGCTGTCTAGTCAATGGTTTTAGTCCCTATCACTAAGTCACAACTGAATATTATACCAAACAAATAATTCTATGTTAACAAAAGCCTGCTGTGTAGGGGTAGGATTACCTGATTATTTATTTAGGTTTAGGTTGGGGGTTATCCACCAGTGGGAAAGTTCCCTTCTCTCAATTTGCAACAAAGATCTGGTGTTAAGCGAATTTCCCTATAGGGAAGTAGCTATTACCGTAGGCACGGGAAGACCTAGACCCGGTACCGATATACTTTTTCATTTTGATGTCCCTGGGAAAAAACACAATCTGTTCAAATTTTTGAATATAGATTAATATACATATGTATACACCCGTGAACGCGATGACTTGAGTAATTTTTGTCCGATTTTGATGAAATTTGGTTTAAAGGTGTAAGGCGGGATAAACTTAAATGAGTTTGCGAAGCAGCATGACCGGACCATGGGAACAGGATTGTATGAGTTTTATGGGGTAAAAATGCATATCATTTTTTTAACCTCAAAACATGAAATTTTGAAAGCATAAAGAGCAGGAAAAGCAAATAATTTAGTATACTGAAGTGTTTTTTTAATTTCTTTTGTTACGGAGAAATTTCTAAAAGTTGTCAATGTAAAATTCCCATGTTGTTCTTATGGAAAATAAGTAAACGGTTGTAGTTTGGTTTTTTAGTGATGTATTTGAATAAAACTAGGCAAATTTATTTACTCTATACTAAGCTAAAATTATTTTTAGGGGTGTGCGAGTACTCGAATCTTCGAGCTTTTTGGTCGAGCTTTTCATTATTCGGCTCGGCTCGAGGCGTTTTGAAAAAGCTCGAAGTTCGAGCCGAGCTTTTAATACAAAGTCAAAACACTTAATTTGGGTCATAATTGAAAACAATGTTATCACAATTCTACGTTGTTCATGCATTCGAGGTTTGATAAGCACGAACCTCAGCTCAGTCAAGACGCAATGATTATCGATCGTAATTTTGAGGAGATAGGAAAGAGACAAACGACCACCTATTGCGTTGTCTTTCTAACAGCTATTCGTATCGTAATATACAACGCAGTGCGAGTGCGTGATTGGCTTGTCGCTATGACGACACACGGTTGCCATGACAACCTACAGTGCGCGCTGAGCACTGCGCCTTGTGTGGGAGGGAAGATTATACCAACAAACAATTTCAGGAATTCTATTTTGGGACGGATGAAAGATAAGGAAGAAACAAAAAGTGGTCACGTGAGCAAATGTAGTGGGCGACACAATAAGGCTGTAAACGTTGTTCCTTGTTTGTTTACTTTTTCATAAAGTTTGACTGGCCACACAATTTTGTACCTTTTTTATTTTGTATAAAGTAACAGTTACCTTGATGATTATATTTATCAATAAGTGGTGCGTGCTGTAGTAAATGCTTTTTATTATCAAAATAAGTAATGAATTATTAATTTTTGATAATAATACATGGGTCATTGAATACCATAATGTGATGTAGTTTCCTATTTCAGTAACTTGCAAATAATAATAATTGATAGTTAATTCTGGAAAATGAAAAATAGTGATCGCATTCATAAACCTGTTGTCAAAACAGCAACACGGGTGTAAGGGTTTATTGTTTCATAGGGGTACAAAGGACGTGGGTGTTTCAAGGACAAAGTGTTGGGCCTCCCGGTTTAGGGGGGAGGGGTGGTGGTGAGACTGCAAGAAGGGGAGGAAACTGGTTTTGGCTATTTATTGATTATTTCTCCGACCCTTCTAGATAACAAAATTGAGTGACAGTGTTAATTCATTGTGTTCTTTATTTCATTTCTTGTTTACTTTGTGTGTTATTCTATTAATTTTAGTGTTTTGGTCTATTTCCTCCATATGTCAATTATATCTTTTTTAATATAAGTTTACTTTTTACTTGTCTCTCCACCTTTTTGGATCCAAACCAACTATGTTCTTTTTTGATTAATACGATTGATAAAACTAAAATATTTTGTGCATGGAAAACAACAAGAATAATAACGTGTTTTTAAATTTATTTTGTATTTATACAAAATAGAATTAAATATTCATAGTAGTTACAATATACATAATAATGTAATCGACTTGCTAGTTGTTTTGTCGTCATTCAAGGTTGCGTTGCTGTTCTGTTATGAAAGACAATCCAATTGTCTCAGCTCAGTCTGCACTGCATATCTCGTCAGGCCTTCAATTATCCTTTTATTTCTTGCATCTTAATTTAGTTCAGTTCAGTTCTTACCTTGATTATCTACTATTTGATGTCTTGACAATTCTCAATGTTTTTAAACATACTGTATTAAAATAACATTGTGTTTATTTAAAAATTGACTGAACATTATTATTATGCAATTTTTTAAGGAAAAAAAGTTTAATAATTTAGATAAGGTGACGCTAGAAAAAGCTCAGCTCGAAAAAGCTTGAGCTCGAAAATTTTTGAAAAAGCTCGGCTCGGCTCGGCTCGAGGTTGAAAATCACTATTTGCACACCCCTAATTATTTTACTATCACTTTATTAAACTCCCTGTAGCAGCAAACCTAGTTGCTTGTTAAACCTAGTGCTATTTAAAAAGATCCAATCATATAAATGGAAATTCGCTTAGTCTCCAGGTTTCTGCAGTGGGGGTATTTTATTATTAAGTTGTCTACTATTTGTATATATTCAGTTCTAAAAAAAGATGTTTAAAAATAAAATAGGTGAGACTTATGAAATGTATGTAGCTTATGTTGTTTATGTAACTGTCTATATCTTGGTGGTTGTATGTTGCAGTGAGGCAGGTGATGGTGACCAAACCTGGACGGGAAGAGTCGTTCGCTTCAGCTCATCTTCTCCGACTCGTTACACAATTGTACAGATTTTAAATCTTCTCCGATTGAGTTATATTTTTTGTACCGGCATTGTTTTCACCATATTAAGTTCTTATTCTTTTTAAAGAATAGACTATGTTCGACGTGTATTTTATTTATTTGTATTATTTTGGCATTACATAAATTTTATTTACGGGATTATACTGCGTAATATTATTTGTACGACTTTTTTAATGCCCAACCTTCTTTTGTTATTTCATTGTTCTTGTCAAAGTGTGATTTCTTAGATGCCTGGCTTGTACTATTCCTAGACCGTCTAGTTGGTTTAGTTCATTTCTCAGTCTGATGAGCTTTACATGTATTTCTGTGATCATGACATGCGGTTTTTCTCAAGTGCAATAGAGTCGAATTCTACATTTGTTTTCATTCAAAACTAGAGGCATCCTATTGATTTTTGTTTTAAAAGCCTTACTGCAAGTACTAAAACGTACAAGAATTGAACAAACATTCTGGTAGACTTTTTATGTCATAGATATTCTTTGAATTGCATTAAAATTGAGTATTAATCTTTTAACTTGGTTTTTGATCCGCCGGGACCAAAAATGTAACCCTTTAAGTAATGTAATTACTTATTTAAGTTTTGTTATGTTATAAAAACCATTTGAATTATATATTTATGCTTTTAAATTGACAGATTATCAGTTTGTTAGTAAGGAACATTTTTAAATTTGTGAATATTTTATTAATATTTTAGTTAAAAATATTTTTATGGATTTTTTTGTAAATAAGGAAGCAGTTTTACCTTTTATAAATAGGCAATATTATTAGGGCCTACTGAAAGTAGCTATTATGAGTTTTATTACATTTAATTTGTTGTTCATTTTATTGTTAGTACAGATGTATTTTTTAAGCTTTAAATTATCATCATTATTTTTATTTAAACCCAAGCACGGATGGATATTGCCTTTGATTTATATATTGTACAGTGTATTTGTTTAGCATGCTTATTATTGATTTCAATTTTTCAAATGGTATTTTGTAGTTGTACACATGAAAAGATTGTCATTTGTACATTTATTGACGGTAATAAAAATATCCTTCAATTTGAATAGATTGAGGAATACTCAAAAGTAATTTGTTGAAATTCTAGTTAAAAGGTTAATATAAGTCACTACTTTATGAGATGGGAGTTTGCACATGGGCAATGTGAGGGAGAACAGATAAATGGTGAATTTTGACCTCTTCAGAGGTGCTGTAGATAATAGGGATGCTTATTTGTTGTGCTTTAGCCTCTCCATCTATGTTAGAACAAATTTCTATATTATATAACGATACTCGCTAGGGACCTAGTATAAACCCTACTTAGGCGACACAGATATCTGAAATGCACCGTAGGATCATGTTGTGTTCACATATCATATTGATTGGCGAATAAACAACCTAATGGCTCATTAGCGTTTCTTTCTGCACCGACTGTATACAAATTATCAAACCAAGTGTACGAAACTTCTGTATAGACTTGTAAAGCTTACGAGCGCATGTGTATGTACGAGTATTTGTAGTCGATTTTTTATTACTTCACCGCTCCAAAAGTTCAATTCTTTCGGAAACCATTTCTTTTTGTAGATAATTTTAAATGACAACCAACGTAGTTAGTCTTGATATAGACTCTTTTGTAAAGTGTGCTACTATCAGTTAATCGTTTAGTGGACTGTACATACAGGATAGATGTATGTTTGACATCACAGGCCTACGCCTCTTTAATTCTGTTGACGTTGTTTATAGCATTTGTTCAAAAGTCGCACTGGACAGTAAATCATTCGATGTTTCCTTCACTGTACTTAACTATTACTGTCACTATTGCAATTCAAAAGCACTTCACTCGCACTTTGTGTTGTGAATTATATTCCTTTACCAAATACAGTGAAAACAGAAATATTCTTTAAACTATATTCATCCGCTCAAACCAAATGTTGAATTGCCAATCTATCTTCGGTGCCAACTTAATATTGGATAATTTACAATTTGCACTCTGTTCCAACTGCGAATAACCACATTTTTACTAAAAAATTATTTGATTTACTCTCACCTGGTAATCTGAATTCTTTGGATTACCTCAAGTCTCAATTGTTTATATTTATAAGTTATGCACATCCTTATACACCTGTATACAACTTGAACCTGTGTATAGGAAGCCTACAGTTAAATGTCCTTACACAGTTTTCACCTGCATGTTAACATCAGCTAATCAAACAAAAGAATAGGGCCAGAGTGGCGTAGCTGTACTTGCCAGTAGAGCAGTTACCGCATCTATACTCCAGTGCCAGTCGCTTTTGAATCAAATTTTGAGAGAGATTCAGTTTTGTTGGTGCTAGTGTATTGAATGGTACAAAACGTGTGTTAAATGTTAAGTACCGTATGCCAATGAGGGCCAAAGTTTCGACCCGTATGATTTGGCCATTTTGTTGTCTATAATAATTTTGAGTATGACCTGAAAATGTTCATTTTGTTTTTAACTGCTGTAAATAATTTTCCGCTATTATAGAAAAGAGTAATTGTAATTTTTGTCTATCATATCCGATTCATACTATTATGGTTATTAATATAAATTAATTATAATATATTAGGATAATATTAATCTATATTGCATAGTTGTTTAGAAAGTATGAAATAAACCATTGACCCCATTGATTTTTGTTTTGTGTGATTGCTAGCCACCCTTTTGTACTCGTTTGGCTTGGCTGTAGACTCGCTCATACTCACAGTAAACTTGTTAAAGACAAATGATTCTCATTTACATCACTTTCCCCTTTTCCAAATGTGCAAAAACATATGTTGTAGTTATTGTATTTACATCCAACATGGTAAACCAGCATAGGTACTAAGTGAGTTTCTTAGAAATGGAACAGAAACTCAAAGGGACAAATCCCTCTTTCTACCTCTATCCAGTCAGATTAAGGGGACTGAGACTGAACAGTTTTTGAAAATTAAAAAAATTATTTCTTATCCTTTTGTTTTTTCTACGTTAAGTCATGTTATTGCTGGTATCAGATATGTATGAAACACACTGAAATAAAGCAAAAAAAGTGTGTCCTCCTCTATAGTAAAAAGTGGCATAACAGGTGTTGTGTGCAATCCATTTTAAACTCAATAATGCCGTCAACTTCCACCCAAGCCAGTCACCGTTTATTTAAGGTGGGCCTCTCCAGCCAGCTTAGCCACACATTATTGAGCTTAGTCAGGATTGCACACGTCGGGAAACGAACTCGCGCATGTAGAAAGACCTCAGCGCTACACTCGTCAGTGCAATGCTTTAGCCGACAGAGCTACCATACCACCATCGGGCGATCAGGTAGTTTGCAGTTTTAAGCAAGCACACGATGACACTAAGCTCTCCTAGGTCTGATTCAATGAACTAATTGAGCATTCAGTCAGTTCAGTACGTCTGCTACTTTTTAATCATTCACACTATGAACGTCAGTTTTTCATTACTTTGATGTTACTTTTCTCACCTATCTTTTTGACTAAGAGTATCCAATTTTTTACCACATATTTTATACACAACATATTAGTTACTACCAGAAGGATTTTGATTTATGAAACACAAGTTTTAATAAAAAAAGTTTCATTACTAATTTTTTATAAAAAAATAGTAATTTTTGAAAATTCAAAAGATATCACTTAGAGTAAATATATTTTTAAAATCGTCTATGAGGAACTAGATAAACATATGACCTTTAAAATAAAAAAAAATTAAATTAAGGCTCTATTATAGTTATCTATTAGTGATGGGCGGATCCAAGAAAATGTCGGTACCGGATCCGGATCCGGATCTTGAAAAATTCGGATCCGGATCTTGAAAAATTTGGATCCGGATCCGAAGATCCGATCTGATTCAATGAACTAATTGAGCATTCAGTCAGTTCAGTACGTCTGCTACTTTTTAATCATTCACACTATGAACGTCAGTTTTTCATTACTTTGATGTTACTTTTCTCACCTATCTTTTTGACTAAGAGTATCCAATTTTTTACCACATATTTTATACACAACAAATTAGTTACTACCAGAAGGATTTTGATTTATGCAACACACAAGTTGTGATAAAAAAAGTGTCATTACTAATTTTTTATAAAAAATAGTAAATCTTCTATGAGGAACTAGATAAACATTTGACCTTTAAAATAAAAAAAAATAAAATTAAGGCTCTATTATAGTTATCTATATAGCATAATAGTTAACATTATATCAAATAGGCAGTCACAGTCCCCTTAATATTCTTGTTTAAATTTCACTCAAATGTCCATCAAAGTATTAATATTCAACCGTAAATTGACTAAATTCCATTTCAACAATGCAATATTAACTTACAAAATGAATAATACTGAAGGGGAATCGCCATCAAGTAAACATTGGAGATCCCTAAAGCTTTTTACTACCATACTAATATTGGCCTTTTAATATTATATGCACATCTTTAACCTATCAGGTTTTATTCTTTTAAGGAAGGTATGTGGTGGTTGTTTTACTTTTGGTTTTGAGTAATGGCCGTCAACTCGAGGAGTAGGTTAGTAGACTAAGGGTAATGGTGCTCCAGTCTGACCACGACAAAAGCCTCGACTTGTCCTAGTACACGATGCATCCAGAGATTGACACGACCACTACTACGACAACAAATGCTATACCTAGCTTCAGTGTCAAGATGACATTTTAGTACATCAGTGTTGTGGGCATGTTAAGTGAAAAAGAAAGGGATACTGTGTGCATCCGATGTTGACAACTAAAGGACAGTTTGCAACATTTTATAGGGAGCTATGTCAAATAGTGTCAAATTCTAACTGCTACATTACATTACAAAAGTAAGCACTTAGCTAAAAAAACACAGAAGTACAATTAGTCCAGTAAATAGAGACAGAAATAGGGGGGTTAACTTACAAACGGTCCGGTAAGTCTAAATTTCTTATATGTTGTCTAGGATGGTAAGTAGGTGTTAAAACCGCAAAATGCACAATTCTACCCCCTCCGCGCCCGCCGCCATATTGAAAAATCTAAAATATCGGTACTTTCTAGAAATCTTCGCCTATATCTCCGTTTTGGTGCGTTTTAGCGAACAATGTGTAATTGCAATGTTGTAGACAATTAAATTTCCTATAATATAAGTATAACAATTTGGTTCTAAGACTTATGGATACGAAAATATTCAAATTATTTTACAATAAAACGTAATTTTTTTTTTTGTTATTTTGCCAAATCTCTTTCTCTAGATCGCTGTAATTCAGTAATGAAATATTCTAGGATAACAAGTATCCCAATCACATGTATAGAGCATTTAATTACCTACAAAATGCTTCTATTCTTTAGGCCAACCGTTTGATGTGGGGCTGAAAAACAAACAAAACAAATTAAAAGAATGGGTCTATTTTTCGCTTTCGTGACCTAAAAATTAACAAATGAACTTTCAGTTTTCGGTTTAATTTTCAGTTAATGAAACCATACTTACTGTACTTACTACATGTAACAGTGCAATGCTCATGATGCAGGTACTATATTCCTCCCTTACAAATATACACTGGTGAGAGGAGGTGTTAAATTTAAAACAACCCACCAACACAGCAAGTAAATTTTTAAAGATTCATTTATTTAAACAAAATAAGATAAATACGTAATGTCAATGTTGTAAACGGTTAAATATCCTAATATATTATGTATATTAATTTGTGTGGACTTGTATGGATACGAAAATATTCAATTTTTTTTAACTGTAACAAATCAAACTTTCTGTTATTTTGCAAAATGTCATCAAGGGTGAACATCAAATCGATTCAAGAACAATTAAATCCCGCCTACTGGAGAAGTACGGTGAAGATATCCTAATTATTGATACTCACAAAAAAAAACGACAATCTGATTCAAAAATACAGGATATAAAATACTCACCGACAACTGGTACAGTACAATGAAATCCACAGATCGAGAAGGAGAGAGACTAAGAGTAGTGAAAGCAGCAGCAGACATAGTTTTGGAAGATATGTACAATACCACAGAATACCCACCTACTGACCAGTTTTTGAATGATGTTGCAACAGTTATTCCACAATCTTTGCCCACCCTCCTGACATCCGTTATAACAAAGAACAAGAAAAGATCTCTGGAGAAATTGAAAAAGAAATGTGTGGCCTTATCGCACGCTGTCATAGCTGCTGCAAGACCAAGGTCCTTTGTGTCACCCCTTCTGACTGGATTAAGTGTATTCATGTACAAAAAGTTTGGTTCAAAGCTTCTGGTAGATTTAATGTCATCTTTTGGATTTTCTTCCTCTTATCACGAAGCACAATTACTTGAAGTGTCTACCATCATGCAACAACAACTAACTCTGGTGAAACCCAACCGTACGTGGCGATGCTTTCTGCCAACTGGTTTTTGATAACGCCGACTTCAACGTCAATACTCT